CAAAGTTTATGCATATTGCAATTATATATACAGCCATTTGCAAAAATTATGGCCGTTTCAAATATACATACAAGTATATCAAAAGTATATCAGACACGGCAGGATATCTTTCTTGATATTTTTAACGGAAAGCCCTAGTGATAGACAACTCGAAAAGAATACAGTGGAGCCTCGATTTTAGGATACTGGATCTAACGATATCCTTGATTTTACGAAAACATTTCTTTCTCCCGACGGAAAATACAGTAAAATGTATGAAAAAAGACCTCGATCTAACGATAATCGGTACAACGATATCCTCGATTTTACGATTACATTCTTTTATCCCAAGCGTAAATTTGACCTCGATATAACGATATAACTGATTCTGTCTATCAACAAGGAGTGCCGTTTAGCCAGTTTGCTTCTCTAGATGACATTTTTACAGAAAAGCAACTGTCGGCCGAGTACGCGCCAAGAGAAGCACTTGAGGCAGCAAACCGTAAAGAACCTCCAAAATGAACGCGTTGGCGAAGAGGAATCAGACCCTGAGGCTGAAGACGATGAGATATCGGCTATGGAATCGAAGTTGCTTACTCCTCTACAAGCTTCAGAATCCATGAGGGCGTTAAGGGACTTTGTGCTGGCTTCTGAAGAGTCAGGGGCAAGAGAGCACGAGTTCCTTCGCTCTTTAAGTAGGATGGAGGATGCGTTTCTAAAGCTGGATGTTAGAGAGAAGCGACAAACACTACTTAAGGAATACTTTTGAAAAAGTTGTAAGCAACTACATGGTAAGTTTTTGAAGACTATGAAAGGACACAAAGCGTTTTGTTTTTGAATACTGTACAGTAGTACAAATGATATATATGAATGAATATTATTACACAGCGTACAATGTTAAATGATAATAAAAAATCAGTCTTATCTTGAAAAGTAACTCGACCTCGCTACAATAGATATTTTCAATTGGTTCGCCTTTATATCGTTAAATCGAGAGTTTGTCTGCAACGATACCTCGATTTTACGATACTTTTTTGTTCTCCCGAGCCATATCGTAAAATCGAGGCTCCACTGTATCGGATGACATCACATAATTTTTGATATGCTTTTGATATACTTGTGCATATATATGGAAGCGGCCATAGTTTTTGCAAATGGCTGT